AAAAAAGTTTCAGTTTATGCAAAGATGGAATTAAAACTTAGAGACTTGTATTAAAAATGCATACCTTATTGATAAAGATTATATTTGGATTATTTTTTTATATAATGGAAGATTGGAGACAAGCTGATGAGTATACACATATATATGTGTGATGTTGAGTATGTCCACTTAGCTGAGTAAAGTTCTGCTCAGTTCTTGGGTTTCCTTCTGGTTTTCCTCATTACTTTTACCCAGCTCCATACAAAACAGCCATCCCTATAACATTAACGATTGTTCTAAAGGAAATGGTTTTTCTTTCCTTAATGCATGTAAGTAGAGAAATCAGGATTCCACAGAGTGTTTTCTTGCCAGACCATCTGGAATAAAATCTATGTCTTTGTTCCTTAATTACACAAATACATGTTTGCTGATTTGTAGCCAAAACAGACTGTCAGCTGGCAAGTTTCCTTAGGCCTGTGGTGTGATATTTTTAGCTTTTTATGTTTCCCAGCATTGAGGCTCTTCTTTAATGGCTTCAGATCCCTCAGAAGTTTTATGCCGAAGCCATGTGGCAAAATGCTCTCTGTTGTAATGAATGGTTCTGAAAAGAAAAGGAATGTTGTCTTTCTGTCTGGAACTAGATTGCCTTTATCTAGATGATTATGAAAGAGATATTTCTGATAAAGAAATGTTCACAACTAATGAACTTGTCTTCAGTTCTGTGTGAATGCTGTCCTACAGCTGCACTGCTATACTTAATTCTCAGATGTAAACAAAATTAGTTTAAAATAGGTGACAGAGAAAAATTATACAATTTCTTAAGTAATATGCGAGGAAATAATTGTGTTCTCACTTCTGTCTTTAATTTTTAGGTATTTGCGAATACATTCAAAGATTGCATGTTGAAGTTTAATAAGTATATATAACTTAGGTTGATGTAGTAGCATTACTGAGACTTTAAAATGACAGCATGAAAAGCTTTCTCTCTGAAAGCACATAGGATTTCAGACAAGGAGTCCTGCTGCTGTTCACAGTTAAGATGTTCAGCTATTTTGCTTTGGCAACTTGTTTCAGTTTCATTCTGTTCATTGGAATTTCAGCAAACATAGTGTTTTTGTGGAATTTACTTTATCAGCTAAATGGGTTATTGTTTTGGGTTTTTTTTCCATAGGGTATACAGAAAACTAAGCTACACTGATGGGAAAGACCAAAATCCCAGCAATACCTTTGACTTCCCCAGCAAAACTCATCAAGGAGCATTCATAGACTGCTAAATATAAAACATAGTTTTTATAAAGTTTGCGCTTTATCTGGCTTTCTTTCTTCTTCCACGAATCAAGTATGTTTGTAATACACAACTAGTTCTGATATATACTTCCTTGCAATATAATTCTTCAGGAATGGGTTTATCCCTTTTGACAGGGCATTTCTTACTCAATTTATTGCTAAGTTGGAATTGTGTATTTAAGTGCTTATAATAACAGAATGTTACCTATATTATCTTTTATCTGCTAATAAGCTTTGATTCTTAAAGTGTTAATAATAAGATAAGGAACAAGCTCATTCACCTAAATTCCTGCTTATTCATGCTTTCTCTATGTCTCAGTACACCCCCAAATTCAGTATTATATGCCATGATTTTTGTCTGTTATGCCATATTAATGTTAAAATTTTATAAGCAGCTCATCAAAGCTGATTGTTCAATGAAATTTTATAAATTTTACTGGATTTGGTAAAGTTATGTTCTGTGTTCTGACACAATTTATATTCTAAATAAAAAATTATTTTGAACAAATACCTGCTTTCAACATTTTTATTTCAGGTGTGGGAATTCTCAGGAGTTTGTATACTTACAGCAAATACTTGAGAATGACATGTCAGGGTCCCACAGGTTTTCTTTGCTGTGGCCTTCCTTGGCAAGGGGATTGTGTTAGTGGTGTCAGGTCAAGTACTCTCTTTTATCAGCATTGCCCCTTGTCAGCTTTCTGAGCTCCAGAAAAGGAAAAAATTGTTTTTCTTTGGCTTCGTTTCTGGGCACACAGTAGTGTTTTGTGTTATCTTAGCTCTTAAAATCAAACTCCTATTATCTTAAGTACTGTTCTTGAATGGCACAAGAAGCCAGCTTCAGTGAGGTTTTCTCTGCAGTAAGAACTTCTGCAATGTTTCTGCAATGTGCATAAACATTCTATATTCCCTCATAATTTGGATATTATGTTTCCTTCAACAACATCAACAAAAGATTTTCTTTTAGAAATGCTTTTGTGGCTCATTTTTCTTCCTATTCAGACATGGATGCACTGTAGGAAATATGCTTTATTCCCTACCTTCTCCTTGAATTAGTTGAGGTAATTGTTTCCCAGTATTTCTTCATACACCAGTACTGAGAGACTGGAATTGGGTTTTGGACATGTTCTGACTCTAGATAGGAATTCTACCCAGCAACTTTAATGAAGGCTCACCCAGTTAGAAAGGTAAGCTCGTTTATACAACATATACAGGATATAAACCTACACCTAGCACAACCTTTTCTTATTTTGTTGTAATTAGTTGAAACTTGCTTTATACATAAAGAATTTAACTAGTATATGATACTTTATGTCAGTCTTTCTCTGATGGATTGAAGATGGAGCAATATTGAACATGCTCTTTCATGTAAGAATTCAGTAGTCATTTGAAAAAGTATCCCAGAAGTCATTAAAAAAAATTAGGTCATTCAGTTGCTTACTTAAGCAGCAGATGAAGGTTAAAGAGCTGGAGAAATAAAGCTAAATCTGAATGTGACAACATTAAAAGTGCCTTGGAAACAGTTGATAAGCCACTAAAGATTATCCTGAAGTAGAGTGTCTGTAAGCAACAGTCAGTCATTTAATGGAAGCAGTGATTAAATGTGGAGAGGAAGGATATATTGAAGGAGAATATTTACAAGAATGCCCTGCTCTATTAACAAGGTACATTGCAAGGGAAAGCAGCTGATGAAAATTAGCGTAAATGCATAGCTGGACTAAAGAATTGAGACTGAGGTAGAGGAAACTAGATTTACCTAAATCCCATGAGGTGGACTTACTGCTACATTTACACTCAATGAGAGAAGTGTGTACTTCATTTCTGTTAAACTGATGATCAGATTGAAATGGCAGGTTGAGTTTAGTTAATTCGTGTAAGTTCTTTAACTTGTGAATTTAAGACATAATCAAGAGTTGCATCTCACTGGTGCGTTAAAACTCTTTATCTGAATATTTTGCATATTATTGTTATTCAAACTATTTTGATGTGAGTCTAAGCAAGCATATGTTGAGATATGTATTATTATTTAGTTCCTACTATGGAACAAAATATAACTCCTTCCAATCTAATCAAATTAAGTGAGTGCTTCATGCACTGATATTTAACTTCAGATATTTGGCTTTGGATTTGTCTTCCTCCTTTCCCCCACAGGACCTTAGGGCCATTGTTTAATCTGCTTCTCCATTAAAGTGGTTTTTGTAGATTCTTCAACACTACTTGTTTCTGCCTATCCAGTGGTAGCTGGGCTAAGACTGTGACAAGACAGTTACTTTCATTCCAAGTCTGCCTTTTTTCTGGGATGTAACAGCGAAACATACTGTGTTGATTTCAGCACACAAAAGGAAATGCTAGCACAAGATTGGCAATGACACTGGGGCAGCTTTGGCTGCAGGGCTTGGCCCCTTCCTTTTGGTTTTGCATAGAAGTTAGAGCTTGTTATGAAGACCCTTAACTATGAACAAAACTGAATGTTAACCAGGCTGTCAAAGAACTTATTTCTTTTATATTGATTTTTGTTTTATACTGATTTTCTTCTTCATAAGTGTGTCTCATTGCTGGATGTGTCCACCCACTTCTGCTTTTAGAAGAGGTGTTGGGCTTCTATGGGCCTTTTGTTTGTTTTGTTTGTTTGTTTTCAGGACCTGAAACACTTGCAGAGTTCTGTATGTGCTTGAGAGTTGGAAGCTCCTTGACATGGTGCTCTGTGTGGATGTTAAAGGCACTAGTATCCTTTATTTTTGAGAAGACAGAACTGTCTGACACCTAGAGGTAGGCATATTACATCAACCTGCCTCGCTGTTTTCTGCTAAAACTACTTAATGACTCCTGGAATATAAAAAGAGATCCCCACTCTATAAAACTTACCATTTAATGAGTTTAAAGTCTTAAGATGAATGTGCACACAGTAAGTGAATTGTTTGGGGAAATGAAAAGCTCTTTCTGCTTTTGTAAAATAGTAAGAATAGCAATGTAAAACCCAATAGGAATGTAAACATTACATAGAGTATTAGAAGGAAGAAATCCTCACTAGGAGATTTATTTTTACAGATAATTTGATGATATCTTTGTAGACTCTTGAATACAGTTTGATACAATATTGCATTTAGTAGAGGAGTTGAGATTTGAGACTAATTGTGGTATTGCTAAGGGAAACTGAAGATATATAAAGATACTGTTAAATCTCATGAAATGTACAATTACTACTTTAAACAAACTGTTAAATTATTCTCCAATTATCTTTAGATAGATTGCATTATTACCATAAAACAGTCACAGCAGGAAAGTACACGATGTGGAACAGCAGATCAGTTTTTAACTGGTGAAACAACTAAATCACTAAGTGTGAAAGCATGAAAAAAATTTCCTTTCAGAAGTATTGATAAAACCTATATAGAATAGTTGTACTCTGCTAAAGCTCTACAGACCATTAGTGGGTCTTTTGGGACTGTTTGAAAGCTGATGGTTGTTTAAAACATAGGATTAATTTTTACTGGGATCAATACCACATGAATGCTGAAATACCAGATTCCACAACTCTTTCAAATTGTCCTCAGAGGCGCAGATCCTTCAAAGTGGCAGTCTGGACCTATACTTATTTCTTGCTTAGTCCTTAAATATGCTTGGAAGACACTTTGGAACACTTACCCATTTTAAATCATTGTTTGGTACGACAGTTTGGCAGATTGACAATCTCTAGTCATTCACTGTTCCTCCAGAATGAAAAAGCACATCTCACTTTATGATTACATTTTTGGTTCAGGAAGCCACTTCAGATATTCTCTCCTTTTGCTTATGGATCAAGCCCATTAACCTGATGGGATCATCATGAATGGCTTCTACTTTTGCTGTGTTTTCAGCAGCCAGCTGCTCACTATTGAGGTAAATGCTCGCTTTGGAAGCCATCATGGTGGGGTTAGGTGATCTTTCTTCTTCATCTTCCTCTAATGAAGGATCTTTCTTTCTCCTTGGTTTTCTGCGTTTTCCCTTGACACTGTGATCAAGTGAGGCATAACACATTTGACTGGCAGACTCCACCTGAAAGGAAATTCACTTTAACATTCAGTAGTTATCCTTGCTTTAAAATTATATGTAAGACTATGAGTATGTCTACACTGTAATCATAATAGTGGCTGAAATATGCCCAAACTAGCTGTAAAAGAAGCCATTAAAAGTACAAACAATTAAGACGTGGGAGCCTAGAAAACACATCAACATAACCTAATGGTAAATGGCTCATAGTGACAATAAGGAAAAATTCTTCAAGGTATCATAGGAAAGATTCTCGTTGGGAAGAAGGGTAGGTTATGAAATCAGTCCAAGTTCTTTGGGATGCAAGATATGATTAGATCTGTTTTTCTTCTCACTTTTGTTTAGTTAGAATCCAGTTGTTAGCAATATTATTCACAGGCTTTGCCTCTGCAGAATACCGAAGTTGGATGATTCTCATCCGTATAGAGGATCTCATTTCCAGTGCAAAATGTATGTCTTTTGTATCTTTTTCCTGCTTCTCTGTTTTTCAAACCAAACTGTCAATGACTATTGACATTGGAATTTTCATAGATTATTCTGTTTTCATGAAGTTAATGAAAACAAATGTCTAGATTAGAAAAGATATTTTTACCTGCTGGAAATATCCTGAGAGAGAGGCTGGAAATTGATCCAAGTGAAATGCATGGAACTAAGGAAACTGATGCTGGGAAGGCTTCAACTACAGGCAAATTTCAGCTGAAGCTTGCACGCTCTTAGGTATCTCAACAAAATACAAATCAATAGAAAACAGTTGTTTTCTATTTTCAAGTGTTAAGGCATATAGACTTTGTGCTGGACAGGAGAGAGCCACTCAAATTCATGAGTATCATGTGATACAGCTTGTGTTTTCAGTTTGATATCACAAATAAATAAAATTAATTCTTTTCATAAACCATGGCAGTAGATGCAGATTTAATTCAACCTGATCTGCATGCCTGTGACAGAACTTTATCATGCCATATGCATGGACTGGAGCTTTCCATAATTTTCCTGCTTCTGCATTAATGATTCAGATTGAAGGGTCAAGTCTGTGCTGAAATACCTTGGTGAACTGAAACAATAATGCATGGTAATCTTTGTGATAGTGTCAAGATTTTTGTCATGGGATAAATACAGGAACTCTGAGACAGACCACATCACCCTAATTCAGAAATGCAAAATTAAAATTAAAAATACCTGTGGCTGGTTAACTGGCCTTTGAGGTTGGGACTTCATCTGCTCATAACAACATTCTTCTGTAACTTATCAAAGTAGAAAAATGTTTTAGTTATTGAGTTATATTACTGAGTCTTAAAAGGTCAGATCAGCAGATCCTCTCCATTACAGAACTCACTTCCCCCAGTTTTCTTTGGTAGAAGTTTGTTTTGTTTTGAAATCACACACAGATCTCTCCCTCTAGGTATAGACAGGCAAATAACTAAGAAATTCAGACACATACTGTGGAAATGAAAATCATTTTCTGTTCATGGGTGGGAGGTTTCTCATTATTCACTAAGTGGGCATCATTTTAGAGTGCTAGGAAGACTTCTTGCAATTTAAGGGTAACCACATACTGATGTATTTTTCAGCATAGGCAGCCTTTCTTTGGCTGAGAAAGGGGCTGTGACTTGCAGCAGCTGGTGATTAAATTCTATTCCTGAATTTACTTCCAGTTTTCTGTAAATTTGGTGCAAGTTATTTTCTTATTTCATATCTCATTTTAACCATCAGTAAAGCAGATTACTTCCTTACATTTTTCAGACTTTTATGATGTCAATCCATTTGACTTAGATAAATTTATGCAAACCGTGTATGAAAATGTTTGGTTTGGTTTTTTAATTTTTTTCCTGCAGCTCAGTACTTTAGTTTTGCTTAACCCCAAATAAGGCTTGCAAAAAAGTTACGTTCATACTACTTAAATACTGCTTTAACACCATAAGCGCTTCAAGAGACATAGTCTCAGCATATCTAGCTCTAGCTGCAGTTATGTGATATTACTGCCTTTATTATGGTATCTCTCTGCCAAGGATTATCAACTTCAGCACAGTAAAGCAAAGCAAAGCTGTCTGCCCAACACTCAGCCACTGGGCTTCAGCATATTTGTCAATGTTGCTGATGATCTTTGGATAGCTACAGCAGAGAACAGCAGAGTGTTTCTGCCTGTTTCTGTGGGAACACTGGCTTTGGACCATGAGTAATGTGTGGTTTAGATTTCTTTAACATGCATGGATCAAGCAGTTTTTTCAATTGGTGCAGCTTTACATATATACAAGCTCTTTGTTTTGAGATACTTGGCTTAACTGGACCATTTGAACCATAAAAAATAAAATTCAGTATGAGATCTGTTCTCACAAATAGTAATGTAGTATGATGGTTTGCATTTCTATCCCAAGTAGGTGGTAATATTTTTAATTATATTAATGATTGAAAAGATGTAGATTCTCAAGCTTGGCATTTGAGAAATTCAAAATATGTTGGTCAGTCAGTTTTCAATCTTATATTTATTATAGCCACTGAATAGACACATGTTCCTAAAATAAATCTTACCTAAAATATCTTGATTGAGATTGCCATAAACTGGGTAATCTTCTGTGGGATAGTCATCATAGCTACAGGGGGAATGGAAAAATACTTTTAATTCACAGAATATGCTTTATTTAGGACCCACTATTCTACTCTAATAAGCGTTTAATGCACATGTACCAATCTTCAGATTGTGTATGTGTGTGTGTATATATATTTGTGTATGTGTGTGTGTATATATATATATTTATGTATATATATATATATCCATAGCAGATTGTATGTGATCTAATAAACAAGACCAAAAATACTGGAGGGGGCAATGGCAATGTGCATATTCTGAAGAGAGATTTGTTATCTAGCCAATAATTGAACTCTTCTTTCCTGTAGCTTAGGTAAGTAAAAAGCTTATCTCAAGACTAGTAAGCTACTGTTTCATGTAGGTCTAGAAATATTACTGATCACTGAAAGAAACCCGGTTCATGTCCTCTGAGACCACTCTGCAATACAAACGAAAGCACTGCATGTGTCTTTTGGGTTGATGTTCTTTAAAGGTCCACACTTTTATGTCAACACAAACAGAGAAGACCAAAGCACAGTTCAGCTTTGGATTTTTAATGGTATGCTGTGTTTCATTACCTGGTGTTCCTTGAAAATGTTTCTAAGTCTGTAAAATGGGAATTGTTAGTGGGAAGCACTTTTTTCTATTGCATCCCTATACTGTGTCTCATCAAGGGAATGAAGCCATGCTATCTAACACCGCTTCTTCAGTGGTATTTTTCAGCTAAACAGGCAGTAATAGACAGAGACTTCCCAACTTCTGTTTCATTGCTTTAGGGCATCATTTGTAAAAGATGGTTATGAAATGTAAATACATAAATAATTTATTACTCCAGAAGTATTAACTATCAGACTATAATTTATCATTGTTTTCTGAGAGTTCTTTTAAATTATTATGGGATTTTGAGGTTAAGTGACAGTAAATGGTGGTTTAGTTCAGTATCTTGCACTCCCTTCAACAGACAAAATTATAGTATTAGCATGCAATTATTTCATTGTTGATAAAAAGACTGCAGGATGTACCTCCCACATGAATTTTTTTTCTGATTTTCTTTGGAAAACTTTTTTCCACAGCCATTCTCTCCAACATTTCCAGGCAGACTGCAAGAGATATTGAATTTCCTTCTACGTCATGCCTCCAAAGCCATCTGTCATTACTTATTGCTTATTTTCACCCTTGAGAGAAAGAAATTTTTTTTATCTGACTTACCTTGGATTGTTCTCTTCGTAGTCTTTATGCATTTTAGCTGGAAAATTTGTTTGAAAAAAAAAAAAGAAGTTAAGAGAAAATGAAATGTGCTGTTTTAGAACACTTCAGATAATTGTCTCAGCGGACATGCTTTTGATTTCAGTATAGAGAACACAAGTGAAAGTTCTGGCTCTTCAGTCGTCCCTCTACTTTTCTCAAATACTTTTGTCTAATTCAAGAAATGTTTGTGTTAACACCCTGTGCTATGGCTGCAAAGTCTACTTTAGGTTACAATATCCCAAAAACGTATTATAACACGTTTTCTTTCTCCACCTTCTATGTCTACCTCATCTCTTTCTCTGTCTACGCAGGTGCATCATGTGCTTATATTACAAAGTGAAGGAGTATTTATTTTACTAGTTCTTGTATCTCTGAAAGATATCTTGTGATCCACACAGATGAAGAAAATGAAGCAGAGAGGCGATGGCTACAAAGATTTATTGCTAGAGCTTGATTCATAACTCAGAAATGCCTGACTTTCTATCATCTGCTTACCACAGTAAGCTCCGATTCCATGAGCAGTGCAGCATCAGCCAATCCAACCTAAACCTTGGTCAAGGTTAGTTTTGTAAATGACTGTGATTTTTAACTCATGGAAACATCTGCATAGTGGCCCTAAAATACAAAAGAAACCTAAAGAGCCTAACCCACACCCCTCCCCCCACCCATCCGAAAACGCTCCAGCAGCTCTTTTAATATTCTGATTCTCTTACATTTGGTGAATTCAGTTTATAAGCACAGGCCTGCTGTTTATGTAGATTATATATGTATGTGTATTTAGTGTAGTTGAAGCCACCAATGTTTGCCTGCCCATCCATACGTGTACAGCACAGGTGCAGTTTTCCCTGTGTTAAGGGAATGGTGAGGATTGTACAACTTCCTAACAACAGAATTGTGTACATAGGAGAGGTTCCACTGGCATAATTAATTCTGTCAAAAAAGTCATAGATAATTTCAACCAAAACCGGAGTATGACTGTAGTCACCTTCTAACATAAACAAATTAGTTTCATTGTGAGTGGCACATTGGTTTAAGAGTTCCATTAGAATCCCACGATGAAAAGCAATTAGAATATTTCTCCAAAATAAACAAATTAAGCATAAAATATATAGGAAATCAGAAATTCTAATGAGCATTCAAGAATTTGGGGAGGAACTACTTAAAATAATTTTCAAATTGAGGGATAAATAATAAACAATTATATGAAAAGTACACTTAAAAAATAAAATTACAGGTATTAAAAATATACTTTCAAAATAAAAATTTAGTCAGAACTAAATTCTTCCCCTTGTACATGTTCTGTTGGCTTGTCTTCAGAGAATGAGCTTGAGTGGCTGTTTCTGGCAGCGGATTGTGCAGTTAGCAATCATTCTGTAATCGTACCTGACTCTCTTAAAATTTTTTAAAACTCACGTGGTCTCTACTAGAATCATTCTTGCCAAAGGAAAACTTTTCAAACTAATCAATTTGTTGGCTTGAAATCTCTGAGCACTGATGACTTTCTCTACAGACAATTTAAATATTGAAACTCCATTCCTTACAAAGAGACAACGTTTCTTACCTCTCTTCTTTTTCAAATAGTGTAAAATGTTCAGTGTCAATGAAACAATGAGAGCCAAACTCAGGAAGGCCAAAACTCCCCAGACAGAAAAATGGCAGCCCATATCTGTAACTGAAGGAAAATAATTTTATCATTTGTGTTGTCTAATAGTTTCACCATATTCTTTGTGCTTGGTTGATTTTTGCTTTCTGTAATTGAAGCTGCTATTTTGTTGTTTACTCTGTGACAGCCATTGCCATATCAGCTAAATAATTAATATCAAAACCAGATGCTAAATAATAAGAAAGCAAGATCAATAAGCTGTTAGCAGAACTACTGTTTCATAGGAATTCTGCCAAAGGCTGGGCTGTTGGTTTACCTGTAAGATACAGTAAAAATCATAAATTAATAAAGAAAAAAGTAATTTTACTGAATAGCTTTGAAATTAATTCTGTAACTTTCTTTAACTTACTCTTTGCAGTCAATTTTTGGCTAAATTCTAGAGTTCATTAGTGTAGTTCTGAATTCAGTCAAAACAAATTCACTGGAAATATCTCTGAATAATAGCTAAGACCATAAGGTTTTAAAAATCCCTGCAGAAAAATATCAAAATTTGGTTGTTTTCTTGCTATTAAAACTTGTACTCATTTTCTTGCTTGAGAAAGCGGTGATAAAGGATAAGCAGCAGCTGGGAATCAGTGAACGCCCCAGAAGTTCTGCAGAGAAAAGCCCAAACAGCTCTTGGAAAATCACCTTGCAAGAGGTGGGTCAATTTAATTGAACAAAGTTTCTTTTTGCACTGAACTTGCCTCTCCTTGGAGTCCTGTTAGAAGCACAGGGAAGAACTCCCATGCACCGAATCTATTTTGTCATTTAATTAATTCTTCGATCAATCTAGCTCATACAAATTTTCCATCACAGACCATGGTGAAGAAAATAGCTTATTTGTGACAGTCTAATGGCCAGAATTTTCAGCATTGCTGTAACTGGCCAGTGAAACCCTCCTTGACAGAGGAAACACTGAGCCAAATACACGAGTGAAAGGAGCTTGCAATTAGTGTCTTTGCTTTCCCCCTGAGGCATGTCTCATGTTCTACTAGTTTTGGAGTGTTTGAAATAAAGTCTGGTGCCCAAAACTAATGACCTCCTCTACTGCATAAAAAAGTCTAACTGGAGCAGAGCAGTCAAAGGGAGGGATTGGATGATGCTGATCCTTAACGCACTCAGTTGTTTTGGACATACGTGGATTCCTTCAGGAGGCTGACATTTTGTTTGCTTCTCAAAGGAAATCTGAGGCAAAGGAGTACAGGAATACACATTTCCATGTTGCTGGCCAGGGATGGGTGCAATGCATTTGCTCCTGCTGAGGACACAGAGTTTTGTTCCTTGGCTGACCAGCTCCAGCTCATCTTAAGAACTTCTCCTTACAGGTTTTGTTCCCTCATTATGCCGTTGCAAAAGCTATTTTAGATTTGTTTTACTTCAAGCCCAAGACGCTTTTATGACGATGAAACAAGATAAGATAAACCTTGGTAGTAAAAAGTCACAAACCACATGGGCTTCTAGGATGCAGGTTTCAGATTTCTCTTTTAAAAGGAACAAAACAGAGCAACTAAGCTGTGACTTTCTGACAGATTTGTAACTGGTTTTTCCACCTGGTACTTCCAGTGGCCATTTATCCTTCCTTTTAAACTAAACATCCAGTTTTCATTCCTTTCTTTTCTCCCACTCAAGTTCTCCCAAAGGCACTTGAGGGCTCTCTATCATTGCAATACTCCTTTTCACGTTGAGAGGCACTTTTTTGCAATGAGATACAGATATTCATGAGGAGAAACACCACCTCCATGAAGCAGCTATATATTTTTCCAGATTTTTAGAGAAGAAATTAAAAGAAAGGGAGGTCCTACATTGAGAAGATGTTATCAAGATACGTCAAGAATCAGCATTGTTTAGAACCTGGTTACTCTACAATTAGTCACTCAACATTTGCATCCTTTGTGCAAAACTACTAGTCCAAAACTACAAGTCTGTCAAAGGCAAGAAATTTCAGGTCTCAATGTTGTGCCTAAATAATCATTCATCCTTCGTTCTTCTGTCCTTTTTTTCTTTTCCGATGTAATTGTTTTCCATTTTTCTTATGTTCATTCTCTTTCTTTTCCTACAAACTCTTTCACCAGGGAGCAAAAGCAATGAGAAGGGAAGCACGTGTAACTGTGATAGAAGCCACAAGCCTGTGATTCATTAGAATAAAAACAGTGAGCAGATACCTAAAGTACAGTTCCAGTCTAAGGTTGTTCCTTTAACTTGATACACAGTGGTGTAATTTATCTTTCTTATTCAGGAGTCCTATTTTTCCCTGATGTTTCCAGGGTAGAAGGAAAACTCATAGTTTCAATTTGAATGTTTTCAGTCCTTAACTGAAGTAGAGGAGAAAACATATTTTTTGGTGACAAGTATTATTTTCCCGTTTCAGCTTCTGATTTAAATTGGAATTATCATCTGGAAAATAGTAAAGTTTGGAAAAAAATGTTTCTCTTTTCAGTTTTCAATTTTAACTTCTACAGTATTTGAGCAATCCCACTTCTCTAGAACTTTAAAACATTCTAGGAAAACAAAAGACATGAAACTTTGATTTCTAATAAAACGTATCAATGTTTTAAATCTCACAGTTATAGTTCTTTCTTAAGCATGACTTACAAAACTTTATGGGTATGGGGAGACTAAGAAAACAACGTTTAAATTTCTTCCTAGATGAACACTGCTTAGTTTATTTTTAAATTTATTTTCCACAACTCTGAGTCAAACATCTGCTTCTGTTGCAGTAAAATGTATACAGACATATGCATGATTTCAATATCTTCTTTTTTTTTTTAACTTCTTCTCTTTGCAATACAAGCTATTTGGTTTTCAGACAAGACTGCTTATATTGTGGAAACAACAGCAGTTTTAATTTACCCTCTAAAACCATAGTAAAGACCTTGATCAGAGACATAAGTGTGCAGTTCTGAGCGTTTTATGCCATTCTAATATCAGTTTCAAATAATCTTACTATCCAGATATAAAATATGGTAAATTTTGATTTTATATCTTCGCTTTACAGATATACAACTCCCAGGTCTTTCCCAGGTGTTCTTGTTCTTATAGTTGTTGCCAATATGCTAGTTATTTACATTTATAACTGAACTATTTAAATAGCAACTAGTTTGACAGCAGCAGCAGGAGAAGGAAAGCTGAATAACTGTGAAGGACTATTTGTTTCCACAGATAACTACACTGCTGTCCCTATATGCATAACAGCAGATGCAACCTGTCACAGTTAACTGGTTGTGCTAAAGAAAAAAATAAGATAAGGAGACTGTGGATGGTGAGTGAGGAATAAGCAGAAAGAGAAGTCTATTTGACTAATTACATTCCATTCTGAAAATAGTGTCTTTTTATTTATTCTATTCTGAAAATGTTGTTTTCTGTTCTATTCTCTAACTTTAATTCTCATTCACGTAATCTATTCTCACATGTAGCAAAAGCGGATTGTTATTTTTTGCGTAGCATATAGTTATTCCAAAGAACTCATGCAACTCTGTTCAGGGGCTTTCTCACTCAAGCCATCAATTTGAATATTTTAAAAAATGTTGTTTTCTGCAGAAAAAAGTCATATAGAAAAATTATTCCTTTGGGTATAGTACACCATGATTCTAATAGGATAAACTCAAATCCCATCAGAGTTTTCTGCAATAATCTGTAATGAGAAAAGGTAAGAGTGGTGGTATTTCGTTACAAGAAATAATATCGAAGATATTCTTAAAGTATTGTGCTGCTCTGTGAAAGAAAAAAGATCATATAGCCAAAGGTTTTATAAGAAGGACAACAATTCTTGTTTCATTGTTAGAAGAATTTGGGATGTGTGAGTGGGGAAGTAGTATATTAATGACTATAAAGATGACAGTATTTGGAAAAACTAATATCGGAATTTTTCTAGTATTACTGATATACTCCTGTGCTGCTGTTCTTCCATTTCTATTTGGAAAGCAGGTTAAACTTGGAGTTGCATCCAAATAGAAGATCTACTTTAGGTAATTTACTTCATTTGAATGATGTTTTTACTTTTCTGACTTTAGGGATGGGGTTACCTCCTTTTAGTGCATTTTACATTGTTATAAACTGAAGGTACCATATTCACAGCACAAAATACGAGCGAGCAAAAGACTTTCTGAATACATAGTTATATGTGCTTTTTCTCTCTTTTAAATCTGTTGACAATTTTCTCCACCAACAGAGACAAGACATGGTAATAAATGGAGTGTTGGTTATTTGTTCTTTGGTTTTCTCTTTGCAGGGTTCATTATACTGTAACTGGAGGGGTGTGAGAGGGGAAAAGCAAACAAAAAACCCTTAGCAAACAAACAAAAGTCTCCAAAACATTCAAATCTTTCCTGGATGAATTTCTGCAGTTCAATTTAATGCAACTCAAAGGAGTGGACATAATCATGTACTTACCTTTGAGGAAAGGGGCCAGTTTTAACAATTCATGTTACATGTTTGTCCTCTTAACAATGGAGGAATAGGTAGCAGGAGTACTACGTTTCGTTCTTTCTTGCTCTAATGTATTTTGTTTAGAGAATCCATCACAGAGGATAACAGAAGGATAGCATACTTCTACCAGGTTTTTGTACTGAAAAGGAATGTGAGGTGAGGAATATAGATACCCTCCAGCTGCACATGCCATCTATGGTATCAATTCATCATTCATAGAAGCAGATTAATCACTACTAGATTTAAGATGATGATCTGGAACACAAAATGGTTTGTTTCCTGTTGGTTTTGTCTGCAAATTTGTCAAAGATGAGATAAAACTGTCTTTCCGCCCCCTTATAATTAAATGTTGATATAAATAATATTTTGTACTAATGACTCTTAGGAAAAAAAAAACATTAAGAGACTGATGAATATTAAATTAGTGTTAAAGATGCTTCCACCTCTATGAGCTTTTAATATAAGATTAATTCCCTGGAAAAGATTCCTTAAACTGCAATTAATTAGTGCATAACTAATTGCTTTATAAAATATCAACTTCATACTTTAGAAGGGAAGCAGTGCATTGTAAAATAAGAAGGCCTACAGTACAGT